TGGCTTCGGCCAGGCAAAGTATCTGCCCCAGGACCCCGAAGCGTCTCAGGTTCGCGAGTCCAAGATGTGGCTGCCCGATCCGCTTGCCGGCCATGGCATGTCATCTTTCGGAGACGACATCGAGGGACAGCGCTCGGGTGACGCATCGCTCAAAGAACCTGCCGCGGTCGATTCCCACGTGCCATCCGAACAGGGCGACCCCTTACTGTCGAGTGATGGTGCTGCTGCTGTCGGTGGTGGTGAAGAACCCGAACACATGCCAGAGGATCCCCCGCCAACGCAACGCCGCAAGTCCAAAATGCCAAGGGCTTCCAACCTGCCACCACAACTCCGCGCGAGCGCCTTTTTCGATTTACCGTCCACAACACCGCAGATCGAGGTCAAGGGAGGCTCCGCGATGGCGACGCTCGACAGCATTCTTGATGCGTCTGCCAATGCCCCTGTCAGTGCCTTCACCGACCATGCTTTTGCAGGAAAGCTGGGCAATGAGACGTACGGCCCCGATAAGAAGAAGAACCGCAAGTCTACCGCCACCGTCTTGCTTCCCGAAGAGCACGTTCGGGCTGCCTCGCAAAAGAAGAAGGGCGGCCTCATGCCATTCAGCAAGAAATCCGACCATGGATCCAGGAAGAATTCAATGGCTGGTAGCAGAGAAGAGAACCAGGCTCTGTCTGATCACGTCGACGGTGAGGATAGAGAAAAGGCCGAAGGCGAGGGCTCGGATGAGGAAGAGGAAGAAGAGGAAGTTGACGAGTTTGCGGGAGTTCTCGATGGGCCTCCCACCACCCTCCTCGCCGAGCTGCAGTTGCGCAAGTACCACGCCAAGATGCGCACCCAGAACCCGAACCGGAACGTTGGGCAGAACGGCATGCATGCTACGCTCATTGAGCTGGACGCAGTTGCCGAGACGCAGAAGAGGCACCGTGAGAAGAAGAAGATTGCCCTTGCTTGGGAAGTCGACGGTGCCAAGGAGGAGGACCACAGCTCCGACGAAGACGAGGTTCCGCTTGGCGTCTTGTACGCCGGCAACCCGCATGTGGCCGAGAAGAATCGACCTATGGGTCTGATGGAGCGTCGTGACCTGGAAGAGAATGAGCCTCTCAGTGCCCGTCGTGCCCGTCTCCACGGCCAAGAGCCCCCGAGGACATTGGCCAAGCAGAGGAGCAACTTTACCCTCAACGCCGGTCTGAGCCAGATGCGTCTTAACCAGATGCCTTCCGCCGAGCACTTGAGGCCCGAGGAGGAGTCAGAGGACGAAGCTGCCGCGGGAGAGACCCTAGGTGAGCGTATGCGACGCCTCCGGGCCAAGGACGAAGCCGAACACAACAACCTACCCAACGCCCGTCCCGTCAGTAGAGCGTTCTCTGCAGAGATCCTGGCACAATTTGGCGATAATGATGAGAAGAAACCTGGAGACAAGGGCAAGGAGAAGGAGGCCCAGCCAGAGGAGGGAGAGGAGACGCTTGGCCAGCGTAGGAAGAGACTGCAAGCCGAGCGTGAGGCACGCGAACAGGAAATGATGCTCAGCGGCGGCCCGGTCCAGGCTGAAGCTGAAGCACCTACGCTCCGTAAGAAGCACAGTCTGGCTGACGTCCTCAACTCCCACCCGATTGCCTACAACCCTGCCCTGGACGAGCAGCGCCGCCTCGAGCAGGAGAGGCGCAAGGTTCGAGAACAGGAGGCCAAGATGGCTGCAGTCCGCGCCCAGATGCCGCAGACCCTGACCGGGCCGAACAATCAGCGGAGTGGCGGCTATAAGAACGGCGCCTTCAACGACGCCAACGGAGGGACCGGTAGCGGGCCAGCTGCTCGAGGGCTTCTTGCGCAGCCTGGACTCCCACCTGTCAATGCCGGCCTAGGTGTCAATATGGGACCTGGCGGATGGAACCGTTCCAGCATGGCCTTGAGCAACTACGGAGGGCCCTTCCAGCAGCCCATGCAGCAGCAGCATCCAGTGTACGGAAATCCAGGTATGGCTCAGATGAGCCAGCCGAACCTGGGCGGATACGGTGGCTACACTGCTGGCGGTGTGGGCGGAATGAATAACATGGGAGGCATAAACGGCATGAACCCCTACGGCGGAGGCATGGGTGTGCCGATGCAGATGCAGCCCATGGGTATGCAGCAAGGTATGGCGCCTATGCCGATGCAGCAGATGCAGATGCCTATGCAACCCGGCCACAATGGGCAGATGCAGTCTATCGAGCGCTGGCGGCAGAGTGTCATGTATTAGACTAGGGCCAGCCACACGAATCTACAATACCTCGACCGATCAACTACCTACCTACACACTAATCTCCGGGCGGACACAGTCTGCCGGAGCTGTATATAACAACCACACACAACCATGGCATTGCGAGGGGAGTTGGATTGATTTTTCTTTTGTTTAACAACCTTTGGGTGGTTTGCGAAGCACAAAGCGATGCGAAGCATTAGGATACAATAGGGGTGGGGTTTGGGGAAATATGGTTTTCTCGGTTTACCTACATCAGGTACTAGGGGATTATTACATTACATCCAACGTATACAGATCAATTCTAATAATCACACTTGTGAACCTTGTTTACGTTCCATGTGGTTCAGTCGTGAATGAGCATTGAAGAGTTGTCTCGTAGGATGGATGGTGGTAACAGGCGCCTCCTCACGAGTCTCATGTGGAGGTATAAAGGCATGGAATGGCCCTAGCAGATCTCATTCATAATCTACTTAGATGTATGTGAAGTTGCTGTGAACTGGCAGATGTCTTCCTTCTGGAAACGAGGCTTTGTTGAACCAAAGACAAGAAGGCTTTGAGTACGATTAACTTGACTGTCTAGCTGATGTACATGGGAGTTTGTGCCACTGCCTGCCAAGCCTCCTACTACCATCGCCATCAATACTATCACTGTCGCCACGATAAGTTGTGACACAAAGCCCAGGCACGCCGTACTGGTCGCCGGGGATTCTGGTCATTATCGTACTCGAGGCAATTTTGCCTTCCTTTTTGCTCCTCTTCATCTCCTGTTTCGGCATGACCTCAACTATTACATGGCTCTGCCTTCACATGAATACGCACCTTTCCTTATTACCCCAAACTCATCCACATCAAGACATGGGTTCATTATACGTAATGTTTTGCTGTGAATGCCAGAGTGAAGGTCAAAACATGTACGCAATTCCATTACCTAAATCCAGAGAGCTCATCCCATAGTCCCACATCACGAAAACCTTTCTCCCAAACCTCAACGGCATGTATGAAGTCACACAAAAAACTCCTCAATCGTCTTAACAACCTCATCAGGCGCCTGCTCTGGAATATAATGCCCACTCTCCACACTCCTCCCCTCAACCTGAACCCCCTCCCCAGCAACCTTCCTCCACTCACCCACCGCATCAAAACACTTCTCAATCACCCCGTGCTTCCCCCAGAGCACAACAAGCGGCGTCTGCAACACCCTTCCCTCCCTCAAATCCGCCTCCGCTTCTTCTAAATCCAACGTCGCGCTCGCGCGGTAGTCGTTGCACATGGCGTTCACGGCCTCCGGCTGGCCCATGACCTGCGCGTAGAATTCAAAATCCTCCTCTCTGAAAATTTGCAGGCCTGTGAGTTGTCGTCCGCCCATGAAGAGTTCAAGAAACTTGCGCGGCGCGGCGTTGATGAGTGTTTCGGGCAAGGGGGATGGTTGGATCAGAAAAAACCAGTGAAAATACGCCTTTGCGAAGTCGAGGTTCGTGGTCTTGTACATCACCAGCGTGGGGCAGATGTCTAAAAAGATTGCTTTGCGGATGCGGGAGGGGAAGTCTACGCATAACTTGTGCGCGACTCTGGCGCCGCGGTCGTGGGCGCAGACGTAGAAGGAGGTGTTGTCGTCGAAGCCGAGAGAGTCCATGACGGCGATGCAGTCCTTCGCCATGGCGGATTTAGCGTAGGAAGGGATGCCATCTGGTTTTGAGCTGTTGCCGTAGCCGCGGATGTCGATTGCGATGACGGTGTAGCGGTCTTTGACGGCGTTTGCGACGCTGTGCCAGATGTGGTGACTTTGGGGGAAGCCGTGGAGGAGCAGCAAGGGAGGCAGGGAGGAGGTGGTGGCGTCGCCGCTTTTGATGCCGTGGATTACGACGTCGGGGGAGGTTTGGGTTGTTACTGCGAAGGGGGAGAAGCCTTCAAAGGTCGTCATGGCTTCTTATGTTATGGTATTTAGCTTGTAGAGTCAGAGCTGGTTGGGATTGGGTGGGGCAGTTTGATATTGTTCACGTCTTGGCTTTCTGGAGATGTGTGAGATGCCTGCGATGCAGTTTCGTGGGGTTTATAATATCAAGATTGTAGTTGACGCCCTTTGCGATTACATGCGGCTAATATTTGACGCGGAGTGATGCGATGTGACGCCACGACTGCCCACCAGGGGTGCATGTACGTTTACTCATCTTATACGGCCAAATGTCGACTTTCCCCGCGCGCTAAGATCGCTGACAAGACGGACGATTCAAGATGACTGCTTTACGCCGTCACAGCGCTATCGAGACGAAGTTTTAATTCATCGGGGTAGTGCGTATTTTTCCCGTTTACACTATTTGAATACATAGAAACCGGCTAAACTGAACAACCGCGGGTTCAAGGAAGCCGAACACATGTTTCGGAGAGCATGAGTTGCAGTATCACGAACTCTCCTACATTGCAATGTAACTCTCAATCACGACACACAAAAGTCCAACTTTAAGAGAACCTAAGTGACTACGCTCATAAAGGAGAGTCTTGACCATCTCACTGCTTCGCTTCCCATGAGACCCAGCAACACACGAAAAGACCCATCCTTGTACCACCCTAATCCTCGTCGTGGTCCACTATCCGCAACACACAAACATGAGTGCCCAGGGCTCGGCACATCGTCACCCCCGCTTCAAAGCGGATTCATTCTACGGCGTTGTGGCAGAGTGGTCTAATGCGCAAGACTAGAAATCTTGTTCCTTCGGGAGCGTCTGTTCGAATCAGGCCAACGTCGAGATAATCTTTTGCTGAGTCTCTACTTTTTGGCTGTATAAATTTTGTTGAGAGTGGTGGCTTGCTGGTCAATGTTTGTAGTTTTGCTGTTATCCAGTGTGTGCGATACCCTTAGGAGAACTAAAGAGGACATGAATGGTCACACAGTTGATTGACATGGTCCCCCTCACCCTTCAAATCCCCGAAAAGAAAACCCCCTCCCAATCTCATCGCCCTCCTCCATCACAAACGTACTCGAGCCCGTATAATGAGCCTGCCCACTCACCTCAACCCTCCAAGCCCTCCTCCCACCAACCTCAACCTCCTTTACAGGCGTCCCGACAAACGCCCCACGATCCCCGCCAACACCTCTCGACACAAGACTGTGATACGTCCACGACTGGCCCAATTTCCTCTCGTCCCGCGCAGCAGCTAACGCAACCCGCGCCTGAACCACCGAGCCCGTCGGACTCCGATCAATCTGCTGGTCGCCGAAGAAGTACAACCCTGTCTCCGCGCCTACGCAGCCCTGTGCCGTAGGGAGCACATCATTGCTGCCGGTGTCTGTGACCATGATGCCGTAGAGATACTGTGAGCTGCTGTCCGTCTTGTCGTCTCCCGGATCTTCGAGGCGGGCGCGGAGGTCTGCCGAGGCGTTGAAGGCTTGCTTGAGCTTCTTTGTTGCGTCGCTGATGGCGCGGACGTTCGGCTTCGAGAGAGATGCCGGGAATCCCAGAGCCGCGGCGGACACGACGGCGTAGAACGCGCCGCCAAACGCAATGTCCATCGTCACGGCTGCGGCATCACCGAGCTCCGGCCATCCAAGATCCCGCGGAATCGAAACAGAGAGACCAACAGCCGTAGCAAACGTCGGCACAGAAAGAAACGTAATCCGCCTCCCCACATCCGTCCTCCACCCCCCGATGCCCCCGGTACTGCTCCCGCTTACCCCCGTGCTGCCATCCACATCCACCTTCACAACAGGAACCGTAAGCCTCACCACCCCAACAGGCGCATGCAACCGCACCTCCACCGTCCGCCCCTCCTCATCGACAACCAGCTCCCGCCGCCGCGGGAAGACGGCCTCGTCTGCGCAGTCGACGAGGAACCTGCCGAGCGCAAGCGTGGCGTGCCCGCACATTGCGCCGTACCCCTCGTGCGTGAGGAAAAGGGCGCCCATGTGCGCTTCGCCCGCGTCGACGAGTTCCGTGCGCGGTCGGAGGACGGCGCCGTACATGTCTGCGTGGCCGCGCGGTTCGTAGATTATGCTGCGGCGGATGTGGTCGTGATGGGTTTGGGCGAGGGAGCGCTGTTCGAGGAGGGTGCCGCTGGAGGAAGGGATTGGTGTCCGGTTAGGGAGATGGGTTTTCTTCATGAGGGCGGCAATTTTCGTGATATTTAGCTAAGGGATGTTGGTAGAGTGAGACTTACGGGATGTCTGGGTAGCCGGCGTATACGATGCGCGCCGGCTCTCCGGCTGTGTGCATCTCCACGGTCCGGATCTCGGTGCCCGCGAAGGGCGGAAGGAAGGATGGCAGGCTCATGATGGGCGAGTCGATCCAAACTTCACAAGTTTGAATCGTTCATAGAGTTCCTAACCTCGCCTGCTGTCAAGGTTTCTGGAAAACCTGCACGGGGATGTAGTTGCGAGAAAGGGCGCAGCGTCAGCCGCTGACATCCGCTTCACAATCCTCCGAGTCGGGTCCCCACCTTTTCCGGCCGCGAGTTGCCGATGTCGGGGGTGCGTCCACGGCGACGGCGGCGCCGGAAAGAAGTGCACATCGGCATACAATAAATCAAGGGGTGTCTCCGAATACACATATCGAATCCCAGAAGTACCTTACTTGGCAAATAGAAACTGATGAACGGACAGGCTATTCCAGACTCAAGAGGATCAATATCCACAATGCTTCCCTGCAGCAACCACGAGTAAGATCGAGCTCAGATTAGCGACATGCAGCAGCTCGCTCACAATTCGGCCGAATATAAAACATACGAGCAGGATGGTGTAGGCAAAGCTTGAGCAATTCTATCGATTCCTTTGAGAGGCCCTCACTTCTTGCAGTCAAGCAGCACGCCTTTCCAGGCGCCAGACTACCTAACAACCGCCACGTTTAGATGCCGCTCTCCTTGCAGCTGGCCAAGTCCCTCAATGGAGTGAAGAGTCGTGTTTTAAGACTGCATCTTCTGCAACATGGTTCAAATTTTGGGATGGAAACTCGGTTTCAATGTCTTCTGGATGTGCCTTGACCTGTCGTTTGTCTCATGTCTCCATCCCTGGTGGCCTTGCGTGGCCGGGGTTCTGTCTGCAGTTTACCATCACGAACACCTACCGCGTTTTGGGATGTAGGAGTTCATCACAATATGCTCACACTCAAAAGTTCTTTGCCTCTACCATGTTGTGCGGCGGCCAACTGCAGTAATTGGCACCTACGACTGAGAACCACCTCATGATGGTAGCGTATGGCATTGATGGAAGGTAGAATAATCCCATTCTCGGCAGCTTGAAGCCCTTGTAGCATTTCCTCTTGGTTTTGTAGTCGTATGAGAATTGAGAGGAGGGATCTGCTGCATAGTCCACATGGTATGAAAAGGCTTGCTCAAACCAAAGTCCCATGGTAAATGAGCCCATAGGCTTGTAAGCAGAAGGGATCCTTCTCGTCAAGTGGTCCCTCCACCGCAGCCCAGTAGTGACCGCCTTGGGGACCGGGAAGACTCTGACTCAAATAGACCGCCGCGCGAGCCATACGGCTGCGAACTGATCCGACGTTCACAATCACCCAACTCTGGTTCCGAGCTTCCGCTCTCGACTTCGGACGACCCCATTGATCCTCCAAAGGCTGGAAGCGGTTTGTTCACGGGGGCCTTGAGACTCGCCGAATCGGCAGCGGTAGCGATAGCGATCACTCTGAGTGACCTAGACCCACTTCAACTGGGAACCGTAGAGATATTTCTTGCTCGCCACGGATTTTCCACCGCTCCTCTTGAATAAACGCTGTTTATCCGATGTTTCTGAGGGTTGTGAGTGGCGATTTGACAACGGATCGAGGCTTCCGGTTCTAGAAAGCCGTTTCTGGAGAAATTGGGGAAGATGAGGGAGTCGATGGGGAACAAGTAGTCACTTGCAAGTAACTTACGCACTTTGACTCGAGCGATTATATTGTCGCCCTCCAAAGTAACTCGTCTCGACAATGGAGATACACTAGTGCAACCATCGTGAACTGATGAGAAGTGACAGCCTCTCGCCACACAAATGAAGAGCACATTCAATCAGGATCCAAGTTCCAGTCTATTTCTGTCAAAGGATCGTATCCTGCCCCGAGGAAGGCTGCACCCTCAAAGCCAATCGCAGCCTACCAGCTTACGCTTACACGAACCATCGCCCTCACCAGCCAACTACCCAGATCTCACGCACACTACAAATCTATTCATGGTTACAATCCTCCTTCCCCTCATCTTACGTCTCCTACAGATCAAACGAAGAAGTCCCGTAAGACTAGCCGCAATAATCCTAGTACGAACCGGATCGCGTCCCGCCGTATTAGGTTCACGGCCACATTTCTGACAAGACTCACGGCCTTCTGGCAAGATATGCAGCCTGGAGCTGAACACACATACCTTCCCTCTGATGCATCGCCGGCCCGTCAGTAAGCCCTGTATCCCAGTCTTCCCCAGCATACGGGACCACTCTTCCTTACCCGCTTCCCCAAACACCCGAACATCTCGTACTCTAAACCCATACCATCGCAGTACTGACAAACCAGATACGATTCAACCATCGTTCTGAACTTCTGGTCCAGGCCTACACGCGTGGCCTCTCCCCATTCAATATTGCATGATCAGCACGAGAGATCCGGCTCACGAATCTCGAGTCCAAACTGGGAGTGGGGGAGGGGTGCGTATTGTGCATCACCGCACGACCTCATGTGCAGAAACCATTCCACATAACAATCCGAAAATCTCACACCAAGGCTAGCAAGATGTAAAAAAGGACACCTCCCTCTCTTTCCTGCCCGTCTCGGGCGTCGGTAAACGTTGCTAGAATGTAACCCTTCTTTCTTTCACGTTGTTTGTCTTCTCTCTCTCTCTCTCTCTCTCTCGTAGTTTTCCCGCTGCGACTCTATTAACTAGCCCGCGTTCCAAAACCCTTCCTCAGCTCAGACCCGAACCCTCAGACCGCAAAGTTTCATCAGCAGAGCTGCAGAGAAGAGGGAAAGAAATCACCTCATGAAGCTGCAGCAGCGCTTCTGCCGCGCGCTCTCGAGATGCACATCTCACCCCCAGTGTCCGGGTCTCTCTCGACACTATCCCTCCTCCTCCTTCTCCTCTTCACCAACACCGTCCTCGGCAGCACAATAACTACCCCGACCACAACCACAACCACCAACCCAAGCAAAATAGATGGACCCGCGTCTCCGAACCGCGCCTACGAGGCCCCACTCCTAATCATCACCCCGGCGCCGGACCCCTCCGCCGTATCCCACCGTCTCCTCCGCGCCCGCCAAGGCGATCCCCGGTCCTCGGACGGCCGCACGAATTTCATCGCGTGGTATTCCCAGTCCGGCGCCTGGGTCTCGGCGACATGTCCGTCAGATAACTACTTTGCTGCGGATAGTAGGTTCGGAGTCTGTTGTCCGCGGAATAATCCCTACTGCGAAATGGCGACGTCGTGTGGTGGGCCGTTCGGGAATTATGCTGTTGGACCGACTGGACAGGCAGACTGGTAAGGATCCCCCCCCCCTCCTTTCTCTCCTTTTTGCTTCTCTTTCTACGCAATGTCGAATCTGGACGTTATGGAAAATTGGGCAAAGTATGTGTATACTAACCAGGGGTGGGGGGTAGTGGACCGAGTAACACCTGCGATACAATCACCATGCTCCAAACGCAAGGTAGCACCGACGCGAGGAGAATCATCTTCTGCATCGCCATGTCGGAGCTCTACGTTCTCCCCATGACTTGGTACCGTGTCACAAACCCACGTAAGTGAAAGCCCGCCAATCCCCTCCCTTAACCCCTCTATCAACGAGACTCTATCCTGGACTATCTTTACCCACGTGCAATCCTAACAACACGGGTTCTGTGGCCCCTTGTAGTCCCCGAAGCCTCCGTCGCAACGGTGACAGTAACCCAAAGCACAACGGTGACGGCGACTCCCCGGCCCGGGGGAAGTCGTATGAGTGGGCAACCCGGCATCCCCTCCCGTTCGCCACCTGCCTTGGTGGCTCTGGCTGTGGCTGCGATGATCTCGCTCTTGGGTCTTGTTGTTCCATGAAGAGGCCTCCAAGGATAAATCGCAAGAGCTCAGGTTGGTCACCGGGTCTCCGTGAATTAGATTTCTATTTATCATACCCGTGGCTAGGTAAGCCTGGAATCATTCCATCTTGTAAATAGCTCCAAGAGCTTAGACTTTAGAGCTGGAGGGCACTATAATCTGACGATTGGGAAAAACACAATCGCAGAGCCTATTCTTCGACAAAGAATACGGCCATATCACGAAGACGGCAATGAGGCCAGAACGGAAGAAAAGTCAGGGCCCAAGCGGCAGGGTATTGGATGGTATAGAAGAAACCACGACCATACCAAAGAAACGGCCGCAGTGAAATCTAGGTGTTTCGACGGGGACATCATCAGATAGGGACGGAGCTCCCACACGTATATGATCAGCATCTTTCAATTGTACATCTTTATCCAGCGAGCAGAAGAATGCATAGATCATCTTTTCTTGCAATCAAAATCAATAGAATCTCTTCATTAATACAACCACTAAAGGGAAAATTACTTCCCACCAAGAGTACAGGTCCTCATAGGCCCGGGGGTACCTTTCTCGTCTGCCGCATGTGGACCCCCCTCCCGGCACCCGGCCGCCAGGCCCACACCCGGACCAAGTGGCCCAACCCGCCCTTGCAATCTTTACATCCTCAGCCTCCATGAATCCATATCCCATCGTCACCGCAACACTTTCGCTCTCGCTCACTTCCCAAACATCTCAATTCAAGCGATTCAAATCTCACCCAATCGAACCCTCAATCGCAATACCACCCCGGTCAGCCGCACAACAGCCATTTCCCCCACACCGTTATTCGTGTCTACGTAGTTTTTGGCATCGGTCAATCCGATATCCCGCCCAGCGCGCTGATTCATCCACACGAGCAGGCCATCGGCCTTCATCTCTCAGCCGAATACCGTCCCTCACGACGCACCTGATACAGTCTCGATCGCCGTGAGACGTACAAGGAAGATGAGAGCGCCTGGGGGTACTGAGCGACTGTCAATTGCGTATAATGTGGCCGCCGTAGAGATCAAGTTTACTTCACGCAGTCTCCCTACTATAGCCTCGCAACACATGGCCACACGACGTATCCCTTCTTCTTCATCCACAGCACGGGTTGAAAAGTTTTATACATCATATTCCACAGCTCAAATGTTGGCTAGCCTCTTTTCAAGTCTGCTAGCTGGCAATAAAAGATGCTATGTAGTGGGCATACAGTCACAACGCCCGCAAATCAACGCTCTTCTCAATCCTGCTGTAGGGCAGATACATCGC